AAAACTCATGTTGTTCCACCCCCTGCCATGGGCAGGGACACCTTCCACTAGAGCAGGTTGCTCCAAAACCCGTCCAACCTGGCCTTGGACACTTGCAGGGATGGGGCAGTTGCTGTCAAGGGAGGAGAAGAGGGTGTGCCAGAGGAGGAAATGGTGTAACTGTGGGTTCAACTGCTGCTGCAGGGTGGAACTGGCTGTAGATGGTTACAGCAGAGAGAGGAGGCTGGCACAAGTCACCCAGGAGCACAGTTTTATAGGCAAAAAGCATAAAGTGCATTATCATGCTTAAGTGATTAATTTAAAAAAAGCAGCCTCCTGAACATCAGCACACTGCAAACATAAAACCACCCGAGGCAGATGGACAGATTGTTCCATTAGGCTAAATTGGCTTGTTTGGTCAGAATTGCCTTTATTCTTGCTTTTATTTTGCCAGGGGGAATACTGGCTCTTAGGAACTGCTGCGAGGTTTTATGATCCAGCACAGAGACTTCAGAACAACTTTCGTTTTGAGCAAGGTTTTCTCAGGGGGTGGTGGTGGTGTCGTATTTTTTAAGCCAATTTCCAGTGCAGCAGGTTTCGTTTTCCACCCAGGGCCACTATCAGCCTTTTCTAAACCACTCTTCCTGAACAGCAGAAGAACACAAGATGACAAAGACAAACACAAGAAAGACAAATTCACTGCTGAAGTCTTAAGTACAGACTAAAAGGCTCTCCAGCACACATGATGGCAGGACCATTTGATGCTCCTCTTGGTGGTATTGCATCTTCTGCAGAGGCTGCTTTGCCAACAGCTCTCATTTTAAAGGCTGATGGAGTTTGAGAGGTTATGGATTTAGGAGAAAAAATACTGTTGACTAAGGATATAGTGCTTGAGTCCAAAATACATGAATAGAACTAGAACAAAGTGAGGCACAGGAGCAGAGAACTGCAGTTTACATGGATTTAACTGCTGGCCAACTCCTGTTTGTATGGGCATCCACTACTATGGAGAAAAACTACTAATATCCTTCAGCTCCAGACATGACTTCATATCCTAAGGCATGTGCCATCTAGCTGTACCTCTCAAAGCCAGAAGGATCACTCACAGACCCCAAGAAAAAGCCACAGCCACCCTGGAACTTTTGTCCACAACTGGTTTGGCCCTGATGAATGCCTGGACCACAGGCTGGGTCATGGAACTGAGACAAAGAGAACACAAGACAGCCCAAGGGCTGTGAGCTCTGGCTGTGCAGGAGAAGCAGAGTTTCAGGGCTGAGAAGGAGTCACCCAGATTGATTCATTCACGTTCCTCAGGTTTTGTTACCATTCCTGATGGGGCTTGTTGAGTACATACACTTCATTTTTATTGCTGAGGGCAGTGATGGGATCCTCTGCACTTCATTTATTAAAGATACAAAGGTCTTGTCCTTCATGTTGCCCAAGGAACCAGAGCAGACTTTGCCCTTCATCCACCAAAAGCAGAGAGGGGAGAAAAGGGGCCTTAAAAAGTCCCTTTGTGAGTTTTTACTTCACAAACTCTCCACTTGTTGTCAGCAGCACTTGATCTGTACTGCACTACTACAAGGAATTAATTAGAACCAACTGTGAGACAGCAATGTTGACACCTTGGGTTCACAGAAGCATCTCTGTTTCCTTCTGAGATTTGTTGCAGACTTTTCTGCCCAGTAAAACACTTGCAAGAGTCTTGGTACAGGAGTCTCAAGAAGGTTGAGCAATCCAAGGGAATTCCCTTTATTTTACAGATCTTTTCTCCATCTGATCAGTCCAGTGTCACAGACTGCCAGCTATGGACCTTTGCTGAAATTATCTCTTTCCTTTCATTCATTTTTCTCTCAAGTAGAGCTACAAGAGGAATATCTGACCTCTCCCAGAGCTGAACTGCAGTCAAACAAGAAGCTACAGTTTTGCCTCACCCCTTGAAGCAGAGGCACAAAAACTGCACTATGAGATGGAGCAACATAAAAATATTGACCCACTGTAGGAGAAACTCCAAAAGCTGGGGAGCTGCAAGCAGTGGATGCCCAATTTTAGGAGCCTGTAAGATACATCTGGTGAAGTGGATGGAGACTGTGTGGGTCAAAGAGTTCCAATTCCAGCCCTTTCTGCTGCAGGGTTTTAACTGCAGGCTGCAGTGGGGAATATGGATCACCAAACACAAAACCACAAGCAACAGAAAACTGAGAACACATATGTGCTTGCCCTCAGCACTGCTGCCTGGGAGCTGTTCTCCAACCAACAAAAACATCTCAGTGGCTGGAAAAGATGAACAGGCCCCGTTGCCAAGTCATGGCCCGAACTATTCCAGGGGCAGAAAAGGCAGCTGGACTGCTGGTAAAGAGCAAGGCTATTTAAGGAGACTCGTTCTGGCCTAATGGAAAATGCAAGGATAGAATTATCAATTATTTTAAACTAAAACAACATCTCAGGTCCAGGAAAAAAGCCATCACAAGGAAGCACAAGAGAGAAGCTGGTTAGGTTGGGCTGGCAGCTCAATCCAGGTACAGAAAGAGCAGAATAGGCTGCTCTTTAGAAGAAAGAAAATTAAATGTTTTCCAGAAGATGGTGATTCTGGACAGTGTTTCAGCCTCCAAAGCAAACTCTGAATGCACCTGCACTGTTGTTCCAAGCCCTGGCACAAAGCTGATGTGATCACAGGGGCTTGGGTTATCACAGGGCAGCCACAAAAGCAGTCAGTGGGACAGAGATAAAGAAACTACTCTTAGATATTTAGCTATGTATTTACATTTTAAGTCACACTGCTTATCTGCTTTCTCTTTCAGCCCTCAGGGCAGCTGCTCCTTGTGTGCTGCACAGTGTTCCATATTAAGAATTCCTATGCAGACTCCTGGCTGCCACCCAGGATGCATGTTAGAGAGCAAACACACAAAGCCAAACAAACAACAGTCCCACAGACTCTGAGAAACACAACTGCCAAGGGGGACTCCGAGCTGAAATCTAGAGAGGCAAAGCTCTTCAGCAGGACCATCAAGTGCAGCTTTGTCTGCTGCAAAAGCCACTGTAACTGAACTTATCACTGTTCTTTTACCACTTAGTCCCAGACTGTTCACAGCCCCAGCACAGCTGCCCCATCAGATGCTCAGAAGTCACAGCAGCAGCATTTGACATGATTTGTAATGAGGGAGGGCAGCAAAAAACCCTGGTTTTCTTTCACAGGACTGCTCTGTCCACTGCCTGTCACAAAAAAAGGGCAAACTCTTCTCTTCAGAATTCAGTCCAAAATGCAAGTTTAAAGGAATTCTCAACGTCTCTCTGCCCTGCTCCTCAGCACTTCCCCTGCTTGCAGTTACAAATTCCAGCAGACAGCTCTATAAATACAGCCCAACAGTTCAGTGCCATGGTCTGTGACGAAACTTTTACAAGAAGGTTCCCCAGGACTTCCCAAAATTAACAGCTCTGAACGACTTCTGCAATTCCTGTTCAGGACGGAAGCAGATTTGAATGCACACGCACCAGAGAATATCTTGTTTACACAGTGTGTTACAGCCTGCACTGTGGTGCTTATTCACAGCACAGGATGTATTCATTTCTGGCTTCCAACAAACCAACAGCACTCGATTCTGAAGGCCAGAACATCTTTCTGTCTTGTTTGCTCTCCTGGGACGAGCATAAGTGGGTGAGGCAGGGAACCATTCCAGTGTGCAGCACAGGAAGTTCAGCAGGTATAAACTGGGTCTGGAAACGAAGTTGGTGATCTAATATGCTGCTGTCATTAGCAGCTCAGATGTAAGAGAAAAAGTAAATCATGCTTCCTGCCTCTCTGTGCCAGTGGAGATGCTACAGGGTGTTTTACAATAACCCTCGGGTCCCAAACAACGTTTTTGTCTGAATGGTTTTATTCAGCCTCACAAAATCACAGAGAAACTTTGCTGGACACCCCGTTCTCCCCACCTGTTCCCACAGCCAGCTGCATATGTTAGAGAAGCTTGGGTTGGGACTGTGGTGGATCTGAGTCAAGGCCTCCAGTAAGAGAATTGGGGTATTTAAAGTAACTGCACAATATTGCAGTGATGGGTGACTGACTGCAGGACACCTCGGGCCAACTCCCAGTCCTTCCACCCCGTCAGAGTGGCTTGATGGACAAGGCAGGGCTGGGAATTCATCCACACTTGGCATTTGTAGATGGCAAAAATGTTTTGCACCGGCTGGATTTTACTGAGTCAATCTCCAGGGGTGATGTATTAAACAGAAAAAAAACCCCAGAGTTTTCTGCTGTAAAGACAAGTTACAGCTGCCAGTGACAGAGAAATGCAGTTGCTGGCAGTGCCAGACAGCTGCTATTTAAGGGTGTCTATAGATACGTAACGGAGGTGGCATTTCCAGAAAACCCGCCTGGAAATCCTGGGGAGAAAAAAATTATCTTAAATGCTAAAATTAGAAGTGACTAATACCAGATCTGTGGACTTGAGGAACTAGTTGATTCCTGCCTGGCTTGGACAGACAGCTCCTGAGATGACTGAACACCAGGTAGTTTTGACTTTTCATTAGTGGAAGGATTTGCTCTGATGCTTCAGTCACACCGAGGCCTGTGTGAATGAATTAACACCAGTGCTCACCAGCTCTCCCTGTGCAGACACACAGGGAGAGCTGGGGAGCAAAATTTTACTGCTACACTGGCACTGGGAACATTCTGAAGCGACCCTGCTGTTTTCTGGGCTGGCAGCTGCACAGAAGGAAGGATATATTGGTGAACCCCACGAGTCTCTGACCTGTCTCACCTTCTATTCTTGAGAGTATTAGCACAATTCACTTAAGATACGTGAGGACTGGATCAAATCCAAGAGAAGAGATTAGTTTGGACTAAGGAAGTGGATGCCAGGCAGACAAAAGTCAAAAGCCATCACGCACGTGGCACACGCAGAATGCCCAGTTTTGGGTAGTTCAGGACCAGGAATTGTTGACCTTCACAGAATTCAATGCATCACCTGCCCCAGGACGAAGCCAGGGCTGAAAGCTGTGTCCTCCCACGCGCTGGAACTTACCCAGGAAGAAATACTCCGGGGACTTCTTGTCTGTAGCAAAGTCTGCCATCGCCCCACCGAAGCGCAGCCACAGCCCGAAGGCAATGACAGCCAGTCCTGCCAGCTGCAACACAAACACAGCAGTCAGCACCGCCCAGAAAAACAGCTGGAGAGCACCCCAGAGGTGTCACTGGCACCTGTGCTTTCCTGAACCCCCCCCCACCTCAAAATTCAGGGAGCGCTCGCCGGTGTCTGACAACAAAAAAATTCCTGTTTTAGGGCAGTGTGTGCTTTGTTTCAGCTCTTCAGTGTAGTGGTGCTTCTGAACTAAATAGTGGCTCTCAAACCTGGTAAGTCATTTAGTCATCAAAACTCGGCCTGAGTTGCAGCAGGGAATGGAATCGGGCAGGAGACCCCCAGCAGAACCAGGAGGTAAAAGGATTGTTGCACATAAAGTGTCTTGGAACACAGAAATTACAAACTTGCAATGGATGCTGTCAAAAAATTCCTGTTAATGCAAACAAGGCCAGGTCACAGGGGAGTGTCACAGCAGGTTGTTTAAGGGGAAAAGTCTGCAGTCGGTGGTCTCAGCCCCATCACAGGCCAGACAAATTATCATCTTCTCAGGCAGCAATGGGTACCCTGGCAGACAGCTCCAGGATCCCACAGGATCAGGCACAGTGTGCTGTTGCTGTGCTGATGGAGGCCCAGAGCCTCGGTCTGTAGCTCCTGCACAACCTGGACAAGGCTCCCAAACACCTGCTGCTTCCCCTGCCCATGGCAGCCTGGCCTGGTGCCTTTCTAACCTGCCCTGCATTGCCTGGCACTGGATCCACGTGCCATCATCTCCATGAGCCAGGAAAGCAGCGAGTGTACAGCGTGGGATGGTGGCTGTCCTCACAGACGTGTCCTAGCAGAGCCTGAGGGTCCCCTGCCACCCTGTCACAGCATGGGGACCTCCTTCCTGGCAGGCAGGGGCTCAGCTTTGGGCTGGTAGTTCGGGCTGAACGCCCCAGCCAGCTGAGGAGATGGTTTCTTCCCTCCCGGCGAAAAGGCAGGACAACAAAACACAGTAGTTGTCGCTTTTGAGAAACAAATAACACAGAGCTTTGTCCTTCTGCTGCCCTGCAGCTGCAGCTGGGCAGCATCACTCTGCCCCTCCAGCTCGAGCACAGCACCACTGTGTCCCCGGGGCGCGCAGCGCTGTCACCAAGAGGGAACAGCATTTGCTTTAACTGAGCTCCCAGCATAAAGGAGACAAAAGCCCAAAACTGCTTGCTCCAGAGAGGCTGAACAGGATTACTTTGTGACTTCTTTTTAAAAGAACCCAGTGAATCAGAAGGAAAGAAAAAGACGTTTAAGAAGATGACATTGCTGATTGTTTTCCAGCGTGAAAAACTGGAGAGCTGAAGGGAGGACAGAGCGTGAGGGAAAGTGAAAGAGAAAAGAAAGCGTGAATTCAGCTGTGCTGTGGCACTGGGAGACTATTGAAAAGGTGCAATGAGGGGAGAACGGGCACAGCATTCCCTAAATTTCTTGGGGATGATGCGAGGGCTTTCCGTTAGGACGAACTTGTGAACGCAGCAGCCGCTGGCTGGCTATTGGAAATGACAGGAGTAAAACCCACCGTGATGCTGTGAAACGCTCCGCTGCACTCGGTGCCGGGGAGAACCTCTCCCAGCCTCCTCCTGCAGCTCTCTGGTTGCCGGGGAAATGGCCACTGCTTCAAACTATCAGTTTAAGACAGAGGCTGCCTTTTCCCAGGGGTTTCACTCCGCATCAAACCGGTACTTCCCCAGGGAAGAGCCGTGTCTCCGTGGGAGCAGGAGCCGGGAGCGCCGGCTGAGCGCTGCTGTCACTGCTTGGGGCAGCTCAGCTCCTCGTAGGGACCCCCCTCCCGAGCCGCCCACCCTCCCCACCCGGGGCCACCCCCGCAGCAGGTGCCCCCGGGGCGCCCCGCCCGGCCCCGCTCCGCCCGGCGCTCACCCAGAAGGTCAGGTTGAAGATGAAGAGCAGGATCTTGATGCAGCGCATCCCCCCGCGCCCCGCGCCCATGGCGGGCGCCGGCTCCGGCAGCAGCTCCCGAGGCGGCTCGGCCCCGACTCGCCGGCCGGGGCGGCACCGGGGGCAGGTGCGGGGCCGGGCGGGGCCGCCCGGGCGGATCCGCCGACCTGGGCCCGCCCCGGGGCGGACTCTGTGCCCGGGGGTTCCCGCAGCAGCCGCGGCCCGGGCGGGGCTGGGGAGCGGCGGGGGCGCTCCCGGGGCTCTGCCGGGCCCCTCGGGGCATCCCGCGTGTCCCGGGGCCGTGCGGGGACGCTCAGAGCGCTGCAGATGCTGCCCGCGAAACCGCGAGCGGCACCGAGGGTTTGGTGTCCGTCCTCCTTAAAACTGTACCTCGTGCTCGTAGACCAAGGGCCCCCAAAGTTAATTTTCCGATCACTGATAAATACTTTCACCCTGTTCTCTAGATTTGACCCAAAATGCTGACTCTGCCACCAAAATCTTACAGCTTTCTCCTCTTGTGATTTTTTTTCCCCAGCTGCTGTTTTCCTTCGGTCTTCAAGAACTTCTGAGTCCAAAGCTGCCTGTGGGGCTCTGACAGAAGAGAACAAGGTAAGGCTGAGTCTGTGGAAACGTAGGGTTTCTGTGTTAAACAGTTCCTCTCAATATTTATTTAACAAAGCACTTATTTCCTGCTTTAGTAACTCCACAGTGTTACCTATTCATATTGTTCTCGTATTTAGAATTAGTTTTCCCCGAGATGTGTTTGGAAGCCACGCAAAAAGGCGTAGGAAAAGATGCTTGGTGTTGTTATTTCCAATTACAGCCATCTAATGATGCAGAAATACCAAAGGATGTTGGAGGAGGTTTCCATTTTCACTCACTTTGCTGTTTATTTTCAGCTGCGTTAAAGCCTGGCAGCATTTTGGGAAAATCATCCCATATAGTTTATTTGAGTTGCAGTGGCAGACTTTAATTAAGAATCTCTCGTTTCATTTGTAATGAAAAACACTTTATTAGTTGTTTTTTTTTTTTAAAGGAACTTTCAACCTACCTTATGACTCAAAGTAAAACCTTACAGTTTCCCTTTTTTTGCTTCAGTGATGCAAATGGTGTTGACCTTGATCCCAGCTAAAAGTAACAACGATATGAATGCATTTGAATAGACAAAATACCTTCATGACAACGAGAGGCATCAAACAAGTAGCAAAAGACTTCATTATCCCCTGATAGATTTGAAGCAATGAAAAAAAAAAGAGTGAGGAGTTTTGTGTTGGATTGTAATGGCAACACGTTTTGGAAAAGTCTTTTATCAGGCTTCTCTAGTAGTCTTCATTTATAATTTTATCTTAAAGTTTAGGAATGGAGCATTCAGCTTTCATAAGTAGTAGGTCTCCTTCCCACCTAATTCTTGCAGTGAATGAATTCCAATACGCAGCTTTTCAGCACCTGGTTCTTGGCATCTTCTTCACCTCTTCCTCCTGCACTGCCCCAGGGGTCACACAGGGCACAGGGATTACATCAGCCTGGCAAAAAGTCACTAGTGGGGTCCTGCAGGGCTCCACTTTAGGGCCAGTGCTCTTTGGTGTCTTCATAAAGGACTTCACAATATCACAGAATCATGGAATGTGCCGAGTTGGAAGGGACCCACAAGGATCAGCGAGTCCAGCTCCTTGGCCCATCCCCAAGAGCCACACCAGGTGCCTGAGAGTATCATCCAAACTCTCTGCTCTCTGTGAGCAGCGACAGGACCCAGGGAACGGCTGGAATGTCCCAGGGGAGCGTTAGGCTGGATACTGGGAAAAGTTCTTCCCCCAGAGGGTGGTTGGCTCTGACCAGTCTCCCCAAGGCAGTGGGCACTGCCCCAAGGCTGCCAGAGCTCCAGGAGCGTTCGTAAAACGCATTCAAGGCCACGATGGGATTGTTGGGGTGTCCTGTGCAGGGCCGGGAGTCGGGCTGGACGATCCTGGATATTCCAGCATTCCACGAGGATTCCCGGCCTGGCCAGCCCGTTCCGCGGGCTGCAGCTCCCTCTGGTGGCGGCGGCCCCGCATTGCAGGGACGCGGCTCGGCCTCCCGCGCGCTGCTTTTATCGCTCTGCGAACACCAACCCGCCTCATCATCCTCATTTCTCTGCTTCTCCCCGCTTAATCAACGGCTCGGCAGCCCTGGCAATTATTACAGCCACAGCCGTGATGTCCAGGTTGTCCGTCCACTAAGAGATTTTGGAGGAAAAGCACAACATGGGATTGATTGATTAATACTTTAATTTCATAGGTTATTCGAAACGAATCAGAATGATAAAGGAAAGAAGAAACTCGTAGTATTTCTCTCAACAGGATTATCAAATTGTGAAGGAAAATTTCGTGTGTACGCCATTCACAGCATTATCCCATGAGCTGTGCTGGTCAGCTGTGTTTGCTGGGAAAAGTGTAATTTCCGTCTTGAACTTGTCCACCTCCAAAATCCATGGATTTTATTGCTTTATACCTAAAAGACCCTTCTATTATCAAACTGTCCTTTCCACCTCGAGGTTCTTACACATTATATATTAGATGAAACAGGCGTAGGGATATTTGCAACAGCTTTCTAGCCTGTAAATTTCTTTACAGTTAGATTTACAATTATGCAGATCCTGGGGCAAAAACTGTTTGCTTTTGGTTATTTTCCAATATTTTGCTTATTTTGGTTATTATTTTTGGTTATTGCAGACCAGACTGGGAAATTTTTGAAGGAAGTAGCACTGGGTATTCAGATACTGCTAAACATATGGAATTACCTGTATTTGTAATGACAGATGGATAAGATCTTGGTTCAGCAAGTGCTGCTTAATTTCAATGACTACAAGAAAGCAAGAGTTTTTATTCCCATAAATATCATCCCTAAACTAATTTGAGAATTAAAATATTTAAGATTCCCCTTCAGGGAAGCATCAACCAGGGAATGAGGAGGAGCTCCCTTAAAAAAAAAAAAAAATCTTATTCCCTGACTTAAATGTTTAGTTTCTGTGGACCTACCAGTGATTTTAAATTCCAAGCAAACAGCCCCAAACCCACACTGGACTCCCATTCTTACAGGGACAATGAAATTTGCATCATACCTTTGGCATCTGTGTTGCTGTTTCCATTTCCACTGAGTAATTACCGGAATGCTGGGCCTGGCAACTCTGCCTCTGTCTCAGAATGCAGCTCAGGAATTGCTCCCTGGAATACAAAGGAGGTCAGAAGGGACTGTGCTTGTCCAACTGTCTGGTCAAATAGTCTGCTCCTTTGTTTCCTTCCATGCTTTTTATTTTTTTTTTTTTTTAAATATATTTACTTGCTTTGCATCAGTAACTTGCATGCAAGATCAGTCTGCAAGGCTTATCCGAGGCTGCTGGGAACTGCTTGGATGCCCTGACAACTGCACTGGGCTGGTTTTCTCTTTTTAGGACTGTCCAGAATTTGCTGTGCCCAAATCCTGGCCTGTCTCTGAAAGCTGCTTCTCCAAAGAAGCATTGCAAGGTTGTAATATCCCAGAATCCTGTCAACTACTTGATTTCTACAGGAGGCATCACCCAGGGAGGTGATTCCTCCCCTCTTCCCCTCTCAGGTGAGACCCCCACCTGCAGAGCTGCCTCCAGCACAGGAAGGATGTGGAGCTGCTGGAACGAGTCCAGAGGGGACCACCAGGATGATCAGAGGGATGGAGGAGCTCTGATGGCAGGAAAGGCTGAGAGAGTTGGGATTGTTGAGCCTGCAGAGGACCCAGCTGTGGCCTTTCAGTACCTGAAGGGAGCTGACAAGAAACATGAGGAGAGATTGTTTAGAAGGGCCTGGAGGAACAGGACAAACCTACTCTTCAAACTGAGAGCAGGTTTAGATGGAATATTTGGAAGAAACTATTCCCTGGGAGGGTGGGCAGGCCCTGGCACAGGTTGCCCAGAGAAGCTGTGGCTGCCCCATCCCTGGAAGTGTCCAAGGCCAGCTTGGACAGGGCTTGGAGCAACCTGGGCTGGTGGAAGGTGTCCCTGCCCATGGCAGAGGGTGGGACTGGATGAGCTTTAAGGTCCCTTCAAACCCAAGCCTTTCTGTGGTTCTCTGATGAATCACAGATGCAGGAGCTGGAGTTGATGTGCTCGTGAAGGGCCTTTTTCACACATTTCTGCCACAGCAACACCCAGTTCTCAGCAGTGGAGTTTCCTTCACCTGGGCTGAAACACTGTGGTGCCCAGAGAGGAACCTTTGCCCCTGGTTAATTTTGCCCCTGGACACGAAGTAGACTTAGAAACAGCAAGTTTAGTTGCTTCTGCTCCCCATTAAGCAGTAGCACATTCTGTGCAGTTGACGTTGATATGTCCATGAACCATCTCTGATAAAATGTAATGAACGCTCATGAAATGTTTTAATTTGGCTTCATTTCCCTGGAAGGATTATAAAAGTAAGGAGATGCTTTGTTTCCCAGGAAACCTGGCCTAGAGGATAACAACATGATCTGTCAAACTGTGAAAAACACTAAGGAAAAACAGGTTATCAAAACCATTGCTTGGGGTTTAATTAGAAGAAATTCTTCTGCTATGTATGATGGCTGAGGTTGTTTTGAGCTAAGCTGGCCATTTGGATCAGCATGGAAAATGAGGTATGGAACTCATTCCATGATGAGTCACAGGGGGTCTGGGACAGCTGGATGGGGATAAACTTGTTTGGCCCAGGCCAAAGAGTCTCCACTGCGGATTTCAGTGTGAGCAACTCCCAGAAATGGGTCCCTACTTGCACGTGGACTTTTCTCCTGTATTTACAGCCTTCTCAGTTGGGAAGGACTGACATTTATAACCCTCATTCTTACAGAATGGACACCTTGAGTTCCTGCCAGTGCCCCCTGGTCTCGATGCCCAGCGACAGAGGAAAAAGCTGTTTGCCCAGAACTTTTGTGTGTCCATTGACTCTGGGCTCAGGATGCTTTCCCAGGTCTGTGAGACACATATCACAACCTGTGTGAAGTGGAGGTTTTCTGCAGAGAATGGGCTACTGGAGAGATCCCAGAACTGTAAGTTCTTGAGTACTTGCCCTAGCTCAGCCCTGTGGTTTACTCCCATATAATCTGTTGTTCCCTTTGGGGAA